TTCCCAGCCACGTTCACGCATATCAGTAGAGCATTAAATTTTTGGTTTTCGATTTAAATGAGATAGAGTATTTGGCCAACCACATGTAATCTACATTAGCAACATCTGATGTTCCGACAGTCAGTTTCACTTTGATGTTTTGGTAAAAACCGTTGTTAAATTAATTGAATGCTTATGCTTTATTTATTTATCATGGCTAGACTGTGAACCTATAATATTTACAGTCTGTGAGTTCCCTAAAAAATGAGATCTGAAAATTCACAATAAGGAAGTATATTCATACAAAGGGATAACTGCTTCAACTGAGCTTCTGAATTTTCAAGTCATATTGCAGTTTCCAAAACATGGCCTTTCATCCCAAAATCTAGTTTTTTTGTTGATAAGATCGAAGTGGTAACTTCCACATTTAATGAGGTTCTTTTAGCACCCCTATGTTAATAAAAAGAGCCTATCAGATGGCAGATCATCTTTGGGATTTTAATGTTCTGTCCACTGGTGTCAGTGTAAAAAGCCCTTTATGCACACTTTATAATCATAAAGCAACATGCAAATCTCCTTGTGGGGCTCCCCATCCAGCTTGTTCAGCATTTTATTCAACCTGAATTAACCAACATATTAATATACGGATAGAGAGGTTCTTATTTTTAAATAAGTGGAACTCTAATAGTGCTTTAATAATATTTGCATTGTGGAAGACAGCTGATAGATTGAAAGCTCAAAGCCACGAGCTTGAAATCAATCTACTTGGTCGTTGGTGCTATTCGACTGCTCAACAATTTTTCGATTACATCTTGACATTTTATTTCTTCAAATTAGTCTATGACATACAAGCGCCAAGGCTGAGGTCAAACTCTTAATATATATGCCTAATTAATAAGCTATATTTGATAACCTAACAAGATAATTTTTATTTTGAAGTCTTGCAAGAAAACGCCCAATCTAACAGTCCAAGTTTGCTTTTGCCATCACCAGTCTATCGATAAAAATAAGAAGTCATTAGTGCGGTATCACACCTGTCCGATTGTTGATGTCTACGATTACCAACTGCGCCGGGTTTGTTTATGCATATAAAAATGTTAAAATCCGCTTTTGCTTTTGCCAATCTGGTCAATGAACAGGTGATGGAAGAAGAGCTGACTCACCGGCATGAGTACATTTTGCAAAGTGACGAAATGATGGTGTATGTAATGGCAGTCTAGGATTGTATTCTAACTGAGGACATATAGTGTTTATTAATATGAAACATGAGAATATACTGTAAAAATTTGAAACGATATCCTTTGTTGTAAATGGCATCTGGGAATAACAGAAAGGGCAAAAGAACTTAAGAATTTTTGAGGAATTGCTTTTCTCTCTGAAATTTTGTTTGCAGTTTATGATTGACTAGTCTGTTAATGACGTAAGTTATTACTAAATACGTAAATTTAAGCAATCGCCATCAGCTTTTACTTTCAACTGATTAAAAAGAAAACTAATGGAATCAATTTTATACTGCATTGGTTCTCTTTAGCTCATTGGAGCAATTTCAATAAACTGTGCTGTGAGAGGACAAACACTTACCACTTGAGTCATGATAATTAAAAGCCATAAAGAAGTAGGTGTCTCATAAATTTAACTGAATTTAAATATTTTTAAATACATGATTGGCACACTATTCATGATACTTTCTTCCTAATATTCTTATATTCTAGACGATAATTAATGCCATTTTGACATTGAAACCATAGAAGAAGCAAAAACGAGAACATTGAAAGTGTATGCCAATTTAAGGCTTTAAAAATCAAAAGATTGAATGAGTGCCTTATCTTGCTACTTCGAGTTAGATATTGGTATTTCAATTTATAGCAGAACTTTCCCCTCGGAAACCATTTTCTTCCAAACCTAGGATGTAAAATACTTTGATGGTTGACCTATCAACATACATCAGTAAATGATGCCTTTCAGCTTCAAGAATTCGTAATGGCAATGAATGGAAGTGCCAAACCACACTTTCTTCCTATGTCAGAAAATATTCGCTAGTGTCCAGAATCGAGTTTATCCAAGTCCTTTAATCACCTGATTACATGGAGGGGAATACAGGTCGGATTTAATTAATCTCTCTCATGAGGTCAATTTATGCTCGATATTGGTACGTTGTTGTTGGCTAAGCTTATTTGGGCACTGAAATCCCTGCGTTGGTGGGTGGCTTTGCTGGGTCATAAGGAATAAACCAGAGGTTGGACAGCATAACTTCAAACTTTCGATTTCTAAGCTCTTTAACACCAAATAAAACAAATGTAATTTCACGTAAGTTAACACGACGCAATATAGGCGATTTATGCTGTACAAAGGGTTTATTCATGTACAAGAAGACACAACTGGATGATAGAGTAAATGGGTCATGGTATGCTTGCATCTAGGTTGATGAAAACATAAGGATACGCGTAATGTAAGTTGTAAGCAGAAATGGAGTAAATCTGAATATGATTGAAGCTGAAGACGTTTGCGTTTGCGTCCATTCATAGCCAACCACTGGAAGAAATGGCTTCCATACCGATCCTTGTGTATTGTGATCTGCATATTCAAGTTAATATATTTTTGTAACTATGTTGGTTTTGTGGTACAAAAATAACAAGCTCATTTAATTTGCAATTTCTAAATAGATACCTGATATATTTAACTGCTTCTCATCTTAATTGCGCAATTGGTGATTCTCTTATGTTGCATTGATCCATTCAGATCTGATTCATTTCCTACCTCAATTTTTTTGAGAAATGCATAATTTTAAATTAATACCTAGCTCAACATAACACAATTGTCTAATCTAAAGTCCCCCCCCCCAACTGTAGGAATAAGTTTATGTTTATTTGGATTCCTATCTATGACATTATATATGGAAGAAACTAAAGTGAAAACCTAATTCCTACTGGTCAAATATTCGATCAACCGCTATCTAACTTATGTTTTAACCAGAGGTTGTAATTCATATTCTACCACTTATCTCCATGTTACTTCTCACTTTCAAACTTTTATTAACAGTTGATGACATTAGTTCAACAAATATAAGGCTCGATTTGTTTGAGAAAGAGTGTTGTTCACTTCAAGACATGCTTCTAAAATCAAGCAGCCAATCAAACAAATATGTACCTTCACTTAACTAATTAAATGAAAGGTTGGTTATGTTGTTATCTTTATGCGACATCCCTAATTCTAATGTAATTTTACTCTATTCTTTGAACAAATTGAGTACCATTCTACCTAATTGTTGACCCTGAAGAGTCTATTGATCTTGGTTTACACTTGGCAAGATACATTGTATGCACAATAGAATAAAGATTAAATGGACACATATTTTGAACTTAGAACTCCTTGTTACGTTCTATCTGTGCATGTTGATCTTAGAGATTAGCTTTTAATGCTAATTCTTACTCATTATTTTGTATCAGTCTTTTCATTTTTGTTTGTCTATTATGTTCAATATAATCATTAAAAATTGATACGTATATTCAATTGTGCGAAGAAAATATTAGGCGTAGATAACGTTAGAAATTTAGCATTACTATTTAGACTTGTCATTAATGAAACCGTGATTATCCCTATTGTACCACCTTGGTTTATTGATAAGTTTTTCGGCAAATGTCCATTTTACATTTCTAAAATAACCTTTAACTTTCAGGTTGAAAACTCATTTCCTTGAGATCAGTAATTATTTTAACTTCATATTGAAAAAGTTGAAGACCATTTAGCTGGTTGTTTGGATAAGAGAAAATGAACTTACAATTTACCTGTCCCGGGTGCACGGCCTCATCTTTGACAAGAACATCGTTGGTGGGCACATTGAGGACCGGTGGTTGCCTAGCTATAATGATGGGGAAGGTTATAATAACGATAAAGAAAAGAACCAATAGTCACGAAAATCTATTGAATAGTTTTTACATTATCTAATGCTATCCATTATAATATATATTTATCTGCAGCTTATCTCATCTAATTACAATTGTTTTACGCTTAAATAGCAAGAGCAATGGTAACTGACAACTAAATGCTATAAACAAGTCGAGATTTGTACGAAAAAATTGTGAGTATCCCGAAATGATAAAATGATTCACTTACATTTTAATTCACTATGACAAATTTTTTACCCTTTTCTGTCCTTTTAAAGAATTTTATGGTTTCGACCAAAGATGCCTTTCCATGTAATATTAATAAGCATTTTCACCTTGTTATCGTCAATGTTAGGATGAAACTTTTTAAAGTCAAATGACTCTTTGATAGTTGGATGTAGATATATGGAGAACACAATCCTAGCAAAATTAGACGACGCACCCGAGCATTCTGGAGGGTGGTGTCTTGCATGAAGATGACTTATCAGTTAGTCAGCCATTAGCGTACACTCACGTTTGCTAAATGCGTTTAATTACTAACCATGCTAACTGTAAGCATAAATTGAATAAACGCTGTACTCGCCAATGTCGGTTTATTCTGTAGAAGTGGAGTAGCTTCACTCATTTCGGAAGCCTATCCATCCTAGGACATTTTGATGAAAATTTCTGAGGTCAAGTCCAGACCTATTCGTGTATCAATCTGGTACAAATATGCACTCTCAATTATTGTGTATTTATTCACTTTATTTGTTTATTTTTTAAACTATCAACTGCTGCATTTGATCCTGAAATTTTTTATTTATCATTTTTTCCAATCGATGATGTAGTTAAGGTTGGTTGTTCTATAATATATTAACGCAGTGGAAATTCGCTAGTCTTTGCTCTGCTTATAAACCGAATATATTAAAAATACAAAAATAATTACAAAGTAGAAAACTATGAGAAGACATGTTAAAATAAAACTCTACTAAAATAAAAAATTGTTTTTAGGATAGTCAATATCAATTTAGGAATTTATCTAAATTCATTTATTATTGATATTAATTGGTTAAGTAGCATTAAAAGCATGAAACGTTTTCAACTTTTTTTAAAAAAGTGCATCAATTTGTTATTCTATTTACCAAAGTGGTTCATCAGCTAGAATGTGTGAAATACCTTCGTTACGTTAGGAATAAACAATTGATGGATATTTTTACCTGTTACGCTGAGATAAATAAATTTCTCGCGCAGTTGTTTGGAATTTATTTGGCATATGTACACACCACTGTCAAGAAGGCTGACATTCGTGATTCGCAGACTCCAACCTCCTCGAATGGACTTGTCAATGGAAAATCGTCTGTCAGAGATATTGTCTCCAACCGCAATTTCACGTAGAGCTCTCTCCTTCCACCATGACATCTAGAAAATTAGTTAGAGAGATATCAACCATGATTTGTTACAACAAAAACCGCCATCGGATAAAATATTGTGAAATAATATGGATCATACAATTAAGAGATCAAATTACTCGCTATATATATCAACTACGATCAATTTAACTACGATATAGTTTTATTAATCAAATATAAATTTTAAAAATTCTTAAGTATATTTTTTCCATTTTTGACTTCCTGAAAACGCAAAATAAGCAGTTTATATCTCTGCATTTTATTCCATACCACTTGAAAACTCTATCCATGCGTTTCATAAGTGAAATTATGAAAGTTCAGTGGCCTTCATTCTGGGCCTCACACAAAGCTTAACACACCTAATAGGATGTTTTACATTACATTTTACTTCAATTTTAATGGTAAACGATTTTGAAGTGATCTATAATTATGAATTATAAATCAGTGTTGAAACCCTCCCCTGTAAATTAAGAAGAGAAAACATTGATGTTCTTCAGGGTACCTTAAGCTATTTGAAATGCTGTTTAATGGTAATAATCAAGAGGACTAGTATAATGTGCATTATTTCAGGACACTTAAGCTCAATCAAAGAAGAATTCTGTTCATGCTTCAAAAGTATTTATTAGTCATCTGTAGAAATTTAAAACAAATCACCATTCGCACTTTCGCATTTCGAATGGAACAAATTAATAAAAAAGGTGAAGTTAAAAGCAAAAGTTTTAATTTATTTGTTTTGCAACAACTTAAGTTGTAGTTTTCAAATCTGTAACGCACCGAATATGTAATGGAACCCATAATTTATTATAATCAAGTTAATCTAAATAATTAAAATCGTTAACAATTTGCGCCATACTTTTCCGCTTAAAGAACCTATTCAGCAAATGCCATTTATATATGTTCCAGAAAAGGGATAACTCGCTTTCTTTCCCGTCATATATTCCGGACTAATTCTATTGCTTCCCATACTCAAAAACTAAAATCCAGTGCTTATATATAATGTTTGCAATTTATAAAATAAAGAAGAGATAATAAATTGCTCTAGTAGGTGAATTAGATATGTTAACACAATTTATGCCTACTTTTGGTTTTTTTAATAGATACATGATTTGAGCGATAGACTTACCTCCTTATGGTGGGTCCTGGGCAAAGCGCACTTATATGACAAAAGTCTATTAACTGGCAGTCGAATTCTGACTTCAAACTGCCATGACTTGACCGCATGTCATATTCGGCCACTTCCAAGGCATTCACCTTATTTTTTCTCTACCTTTGTGGCTGATTCTTTTACATCTGTAAATCACTCTTCTGTTTCCCCTCCCCCCCCCTCACAATCAGGAAGCGTGTGACTTTGATGTCAGTTTTCTCTGTGAAGCTCTAAGTCAACTCAATGGCTAATGATAACTATCATAATGTTTGGCATTTGATATGAATAACTATTAGCTATCTATAAGTCCATAGGCATTCTCAGCCTAGCTCACTATTGTGTATTTATCGATCTACAGCTCCATCACAGCTATGAGTGTTTTCACCGCGAAATCTGCCAACTGTGTTTATTTGATGTTTCGTACAACCCAGCTTTCACTCTGTCTTTCCCATTTCTCTTCCATCTCACACCTCATTTGGCGTCTCATTCATTTCTAATTACCCAATGTACTTTTGGTCAAAATCAATCATTAATCTTCTCAATCGGGAAAGGCTACTATTTTCTTGCTAGCCCTTGAATGATTATAACCTTTGCAAGGGGATTTTCCATCATAATTTGGTTAAGGCTTTAAATTAGAGTACTAACGTAACCTCCTGCAACCTTATTAGCAAACACAGAAAATGGTATATAGTATTTTATTATAAAGTAGCACAACCAGGTAGCTCACTTGAATAGTCGTCTACCAAAGAGGATTTCGGTTGGCCATAATATTCATGAATAAGCACATTTAATTTAAAATTAGAGCAGTAATCATTCCTAATGCAGTCGAATATCTTGATTGTTTTCCATATGCTTTAAAACAAAATATTTCGTTAAATAAATTTTAAACAAATTAAAAAATTAATTTGTTTTTATTCTCACAGTTTAAGGACCAAGTGAAGTGCAAAATAAGCAGAAATATATAGCTATAATATGAAATTAATATTATGTTTTTAATTGGGATTTATTATAATGTAATTATCTCTATCAAAATGTTAATGCAAATTTTGATAAGTTGAGTTAGTGCCCTGCTGATACCAAATTTTGATTACATTATTTTTACGCCATTTTGAATCTCTCAACAGATTTTGGTAACATTTCGACAGCTGTTGTAATCTATTCTTGAATCAATGATTGACGTATGCGTTGGTAAATTGTTTATTTGTAATCAATATATAGTTAATGCAAAATGGCTGCAATCTTGATGCATGTGCAATTTAATTCTATTTCCTTCAAAAATAATGTTAATGAAACATATTTGAATTCTGTACTCTATTAGCCATATTCTTCTAAGAAATTATTAATAAAATCCTTGCTTAAACATTTTTTCTTTCATTACTCATTTGCTTTACATGACCAATTGATTGTAATAATATTAGCCTTAATCAACATTTCTGAATGCGTTTTTAAAAAACATATGAAATTTTGGAATTAAATAAAAAATTTGGCAAATCTATTTTGTCTTGTTTAATTATATTAACAGAAATGAAAAGATTATCATCTTAAAGAAACTTTTGCTCACCGGAAATAGATCTAATCTGACAACGAGAAATAACTTCATGTAATTGCCAAGTTGGTTCTACGTTCTACACAGCTTAGACAAATCCAGGAACAACGTCACTTTGCCCTGTCGATAGCCTTTATTCGTGTTCAAATCGAATCATGCACAATATGGAGCAATATATTTGTTCACTTAACAAATGATTAATAACTATACGTAAGTACAGTTTTAGTTTGGCAAGTACTCTAAATGATTAATTATTTGAGCCTTTTAAAAGTTGAATTTACAAAAAATATTCAATCGTCAACTGCTTAATTTTTGTCTTATTTAATTTAAATGATGAAGATCGAAAATTAGCACTGTTTGAGTTGTTTGCTTACGAGGAATCTTTGAAGAGCAGTCTTTTGAAACTGACTAAGCTTTTCATCATCACCCATACTTAGTAAATGGCAGTTAAAGCACTGGCGACTAACAAGACTTCATATGATTTAAATTTAGCTGAGTTAAAGATATTTCACTAGCTAAGAGTAAAAGTAATGTACAACCAAACTCTCTAGTCAACTACCAACCAATTATAGAATGGAAACTGACTTTGAATAACTAAATTATCTCCCTCCAAATTCACCGGAAGAAGGTCAGTTGAGAAATTGCGCTTAGTAACTATAATTTAAAAAATAAAAACATAATTTGCTTTCTTCATTCATTTCAAACTACCTTTTAACTTCAAACAATATGGAACCATTTAATGAGAGCGAAATAAAGGTGAGAAATTTGCTATTATTTAAAATGAAGTTAGAATTTTTATTGAGTTTAAGTCTTGAAACACTATTTTAAATTGTATTCCGTAGTTATGCCTCTGTAAAATTAATAAGAAATTAAAATCTTAATAAATTTGCCTTAAAATTTTCAAGTTTAATTGCTCACAATAGCGTATAAACTTAGGATAATGGGTAGATATTTGATTCCTTCATAAAAATTCAAGCTATTTTTTATGTGGCTTTCCTCAAATATCGCCTTTAAGATATCATTGACAACTGTATTCTTGGGTCAAAAGGTGCATATTTCTAACCAATATTGAAATTCTTTAATATGTATTTTCAAAGATAACCTCAAATTCTGTTCATGAAGATAGTACGCGGATTAATAAAATAAGTAATGTAAAATAGTTGCTTTATTCAAATTGACTAATCATTTCTATTTAGTCTGTTTTGTAAGCCGAAACTAGTAACTTATTTTAAAAATATTTAATTTGTCAAATTTGAAATTTAGCATCTCGATAGATTTAAAAATATCCCATAAATAATATTTTAATTTGCGATTGCGTTTGGAAACATTGAGAATGAGTTAAGATATCAATTCGTCATAAAACTTTTTAAAATAAAACCTCCGTTTATTATTCGCCCAAAAATGTAATTATGGTATCTTATAATTTATAACAAATGGCAGGCGTTTTGATAGTTATCATTAGCTCTTTAGTTGACTTCGGGCTTCACAGAGGGGAGGAGGAACATCAAAATGAGAAGAATTCGGAAGGAAGAACAAAAGAGTGATTCGCAGATGTAAATGTAAGAGACCAGCACCAGGGCTCAGATAGGATAAGACGAGTACTGTGAAAGTGATTGAATATGACATACAGTGGGGTCATGGTAGTTTGACGTGAGAAGTCAACTGCCGGTTAATAGACTTTTTGCTGTATGATTATACGTTGGCCAGGATGCACCACGTGGGGGTTAGTCTATCCCACACCCCTGGTATCTTAAAATCGTCTAATTTTTACTAAATTTTAACTGCAAAATAGTCACTCATGGATTAAATTCTTGAAGATGCGAAACATTGAACAAACAAATTCATCCAATGAATTTAGCTAAAAGAAACTAATTGCAAGTATTTTATTAAAATTTACAGGACTTATAGTAGGAATGGTATACAAAATCTTATTAAATACATGTTCGATTTTAACTCCTAATCTCAACACATGGGAAACTCACAAATGCGATTTACAAATAGAGATAAGGAAGACAAATATTGCCAAAAATTTCATACGAAACTGTTTAATTTCATATTATATTAAAATTGAAATTTTCCATTACCTCCCGCTTAAATGCCGGTTAAAATACAACATTTCTGCTTTTGATGTGGAATGTTGTTGTAATCGTTGTGGTAGGTTATGAGCAAGTTTCAATTGCTGTGTAAAACAACTAATGAAAAAGGATCGCTGCTAAACATCACGTATTAAAAGATTATTTTCTGTTTCAACCGAAATTCGAGCCAAAATTGTAATCTCTCATATTTCATAAAACTCTCGTACTCCGAATAAAGCTCATTTTATTACAAATAAAATGGTTCATTTTGAATATTTTTCCAATTAGATATATTTGAATCAAAATTTTACTCAAAATGCGCAAATAAAAGGATAAATATTGAAACGATCGATTTTAAATTAGCTTACTATTTTTTTAAAGCCTGATTATTCATTCGAGGTCCAAGTTACGCAATTAGCAAGCAGAGCGCTTAAACAAACCTCTCAAAGAAATTAAATTGCAATTTTTTCCTAGAGACTTTACGATACCGCTACTCTATATTAAGTTATTGGTAATTGCTCTTATTTCGAGCTTGCTGGTGATACAAGATCAAGTAATGGTTCGCCAATTCCTATTTACATCATTTTGCTAATATATACATAACAATGAAAAACATTCAGTGGTGAAAAATGAGACAGCATAATTTTTTACGCCAACACGTTACTGGGAATTGGGCGAATTGACAACAAGAAAACTCAAAAATGGAAAACCAAAACAATATGCAAGAAAAATCAAACGAAATTAGCATGAATTAATGACGAGTGAAAATGCTTCTGAAATGCAAAATATGATTAAGTTGAAATGTTTTTAGGCGATCTATTTTGCTTTAGAATATGGCTATTTGCATTGTTTTTTGGTCAACTGTTTCATGATTAAATTTTAATTTTAATTTCATTTTTAAACAGAGAACTGATTTTTAAAGCTAATCTTATTGGGTTTGATCAGATATGTACTCTTCAACTCTATAATCAATCCTATGATCTAATATATGTCAATTTATAAGTAAACATAAAATATTTAATCCTTATTTGACTGAAACGATTTTTTAAATAGAATTGTTTTAGATCAATGACAAAAGTGGCAAAATATTTATTTGATTTCTCTAAGGTATTACTGTGAAATACTTTCTGCCTTGTTCTAATATGCATTGCTTAATTTTACTTGCACAACTCAACTTTTTTTTCGCATGACAATTGTTGGTTTAATAAATAATTCATGCTCAGATATGCTTTTCAATAAAAAGAATATTTTTGAATATTAATCTAATCGGGAAAACCATCACTATACTTAAAACCTCAAACAAAATAACATAGTTTGCTCTTAGTTAAATTCATTACGTTAAGAGGGAAAATATATCTAAATATATTTCTCTTTTAAATAAAGACAAATGCGGAGGCGTTTCAAAATATTATAAATCAGCTGTAGACACATTCATTTTAAGTTATTTTGCTTTGATCCAAGCTTCAGAGCGTTCCGAAACCAAATATTTTTGCTTAAGAATTTTGGTTTTTACTCAAAGTATAAAATTTATCTGAAGCTTTGTTGACGATTAGGTCAAGATCTTCCTTTAATGTGTTTGATGTACCACCGCTTTAACTAGCGCAAATCACACTCATTTAAAAAATTAAGAAAATAGAACAGTTTAAATCACATACCACAGTATTATTAAAATCCACATTATGCACAACGCAGGGTAGAATCACATTCTTTCCTTCTTCAACAGTGAGACTTGTCGGAAAAGATGCATTAAAACATGGAGCAAAAAGCTTTTGTCTGGACATATTTACAAGCGAATCCGTAGAGCGGGAATTTAAAAATTCCCTTTCAAGGAAAGTGCTACGTGGCACATCAATGCAATCAAAATCGGTTTCTGATAAGGGCAGTGCCATAACAAAAGCACGTAAGTTAAGCAATGTGAGAATTATAATAATAATTGGCTCAATCATTATAAGAAAAGATGCGGAAATTCATTGAAGCAGTTTATTCCGCAGCAAACATCAGGCCTCTATTATAACCGATGAGCTTGGAAGTCACGATAATAGTTAAATGATGTCCACTTACTTGACGATGCATAATAGATCCATAATTTGTATTACACAAAATAAATATTTTCCTTTTTTCTAATTTCTGCAAAAGGAGAACAAAGTACGGGAGCGAAATGTATCATTAGAGAAAGCATCATTTACTCTAAAAATTCTGCAAGCATGAGTTGACTGGCCAATCAGAGAGCACTGGCGTGAGGTGTTAGAATGAGTTCAGTTTGTCGACCTATGAAATTAAAATCCAATAGTAGCAATATACACTAGTGAATCGCTTAATGCTTCGACTTTTGCCCCAAAAATATATCGCAAAATAAAAGACTACGGTCTCTTCGTATTTAATTACGTTCCAAAAATATTTTTGCCACTTACTTGATTATAAATGGTATAAAGAAAAGATTACCGATTTTATTTTGCATTTAAATAATTGTTTCCTAGATGTCTATATCAGTGACCATCAAATAATTATACAATATAGATATTTCCCAGAGCGTATGGTTATAAATATTAAATTCAATATTCTCTTTAAAGAGAGCAATTCATTTCAGACCAAATGAACGACCATTATGAAAAAGATTTAATTTAAAAATAATCAACTTGCAAGTCTATTCATTACATTTGAATAAGCGCTTAAATAGATATAAATAGATAATCGTTCAAATTCGACAATGAATATTTTTAATGCATACCAATGCTCTAATTAATATTATTTTATGTGCAAATCTCCAGTGCTAATGTTAAAATTATTACTATCTTCAAAACGGCAAAAATTCAAAATTAGTGTCGCCACATTTATATTCATTTTTAAAATAAGAGAAAATTTAACCTCAAAATGTATTCTTAAATCGGCGAACTAAATTGGGATTATAGGTATTTTAAGAATACTGAACAATATTTACTATCTGTTTGAAATCGTTTGCTGATTATTATTTTATTTTGTGTTTAATTTTAAGACTTTTAGTGTTTTCTAATAATTTCTACGAAAAATATTTTAGCCTACATATCGAAAATCATTTTCAAAACGTTAATTCGATCCTTTGAGTTCAATGACATTCAATAAAATAAAAAAAATTTAGGTTATCTATAGTGTGAAATCGAGAATAACTAAAATCAAAGGACCTGAAGTTTTTTTAAATCCAAAAGAAATTAAAGGGAACCAATGTGCAAATATAATTTCAAGCTGTAAAGTGGCTATTTGTTAGGTATCTAAATGCTTAACAACTCAAAAATCAAAACCAGGTCATAAATCTTCGAAATTATTTATGAAATTCTTGTCGACGTTGTCAGTCATTATTAATCAATTAAGAAATCATCTTCGGAATTTAAGTATTTTTGTCACAAAAAGTGGACTCACCCTTCCTTTTGTTTGTTAGTATAACTAAATGCCACTTAAATAGAGTTTAACCAAGGTTTCTTTGAAACCGTAAGAAATTTCCTTTATTACATCAAAGACGGAGCAATTGCATAAAATGAAATATGAAAAAATTATTACTATTTATCAATTTCAACATTTTAATTTTTGACGAAAACAACTGCATGTTATTCGCGGGAGCATTAACGAATTCTCGAAAGTGGCATGTCCAAGAAATTGAAATATTAATTTAAGTTAAATTTGAATATATACGCCAATATTCGGACCATTGAAATTCAACTTTAGTTGACCCTTTTCTGATATAATCATCCTTTTTGTTGTCAAACTATGGATACAAACGTTTTGACCGGCTTTGGATCTTCGTAATTAATTACCTTCTGTACATTCTACCAAAGGAGATTCCAAATTGCCAAACCTGAATCAGCCTAATGTCTCCATATTCGAAAATTGTCAAATATCATTATTTTATGGTTAAATAGGAAATTTAAAAATCGTATTGCTGTGCTTGGCTTCTCAAAACATTAAAAGTCCATCTGTCCCGCCGGAGTCTTTTAAATCAAAATTGACACTGGCCAACTGCTTAGACTTGACCATAAATTACGAAAATGTCTTTGGCAGTCTGACGTGTGCTCTGCTTGCTTTGAGGTTGTAGGCTTAAATCTAACAATAAAATGAAAATTATTACCCGGCAAGTAATGTTAAATAATTTGTCTGCTAAGATAAATCTACCAGATATTTTCCACCACTGTGTCTGAACACAAATTAATCTAGATCGTCTCTTCATAAATTCGTTTATTTCTTATCTGAAACCCTGTTTTATTTTAACTAACAAACCACAACAATTTTTCTTGATTTCTGATATTTTACTTTTATATTTATTTGCCTGAGATGATCGTATTGAAACTTTACATATTGATAAATAGACATGTTTAAATGTACACAGCATATCTAAATTTATTGCCAAAAAAACTAAGTCATACTTCACATAACAAATTTTTGAATAGCCTAAATTTCTGGTTTGATTTTAATTTATATAAAACATGTAGGGAGTTTTTTTAAGAGACATAAGAAACGCTTGAAGACAATTAATAGCAAATTATGATTAATCGAGTTTAATTGCTACCTCGGTTTCGCTAATTACCGCTCGGAGTTTGCTTAAATTAATTTGTTCCCCTTAATGGAAACACAAATTTGACACGTCTTAAATAGAATAAAAAATGGAAGTGGTATAGAGGACTTCATATTTTGGAGCTCGCTCTTTCATTTGACTAACTTTAAGCCAATTGGAACATTTTGTTTATCTTCAACTATCCCAGGAGAGTAGCAAAGAGGCTTACAAAGTTACAAACAAGCTGGCAAAATTTGATAGGTTATTGAAATGCTACATTTATATGTTGTCAGGAAGTTTGATCAGAATTAATAAACTCTATTAAAATAAATTTTTAAACCATACTTTAACACAATGCAGAAACAGTAAGTCGATTTATAATATAAGTCTTAAAATAAATGCCCACTGCTTACAGAAAAATGTATTGTCGAAACTGGGAATTCTGATTGAGAGACTTCTTGATTACCCAAATTTATGAATATAAGATTTGGTCTATTAACGTCATCAACGATTTTGTTCTGTCCTTTTAATTTAATCTGTATTTTTAGATGCCATAATTTAGGTTAATGTTGGTATATGATGGTATATGTTTTTAGTCGGGGATTCGGATCAAACATAGTTGGCAAAGATTTTAATACAAAGATGTATAATTTAATATGGGAGACCTAAACCTCTCCAACGTTTTAGGTCAGTTTCATTATTTCTTTCAATTATTCTAGAACGTAAAGTAATATAAAATACAGATTTTAACAGAATAAATCTTATTTATCTAGAAAGAAAACATTATTGAAGTATTCGGTCTTCTTACTGCACGTTTTTAATAATCGTGATGTACAGATATCAATTTGAAGAATGGGCTATGTTACAAAAATATTTTAACAAAGACCAGTTTTTGTACGAGGAATGTTCCTTTGACATTAAAATAATAACTACATTGGTATTTTGGTAAGTGCAAATTGTAAAATTCAATTCAAATGGGTTTGTGCCACAACTCAGAAATGAAGTCAATCGTTACTTCATGGCTAATTTAATTTAAAATGTCTTTCTTTAATATATATGCATATATTAAAAAAGTGGAGACTACAGTATTTTGAACAAATTTCAGATAATTAACAAATCGATTAGATTAACCTAAGCAAAATTGGGAATACTTGAACCCCATCTTATGAAATGGTTACCTTTTATTAGTATGGGAAACATTTTACTCAATTGCAATTGATTCAAAAGGAACTTTCATTGGCCTTTGCAATAACTATGAATGCCTAAAAGCCAAATTTCGTGATTATTCAAATGCATTAATTCCAAATGGGCTTAATTGATGATTGATTGTCAAATGATAAGAGTTTTCGAAATCCATTTGCCCTTTTGGCTGGCCACAAAGGAGTCATTAAAACCACTAATCTATCATCAAATCATTAACGTTCATGCATAGCATATGAATGAGCAAATGGCCAATTTTTTCCGCTGGTGATCTGTGTTTCGTCTATAACGCCTCGCTTACCAAAAAGAATTATTCTACTTCTTTAGACTTTACTTAAATACTTAAAAAATTTTCAGACGACCAGTAAAAATTTGAAGCAGTATTATAATTTTATATTGCAATTGAAAGAGGAGAGTTTAATGCGTGTTTGGCTGTTGTAAGCCTTATTGCTGCTGGCAAAAACAGACAATTGAACTGTTCGAACACGTCAGGAATTCAATATACTATTCAACAATACAAAGCAATACATGAATTTGAAGATTTCTAATTCGCAAAATTATTAAATCGAAAGCATCATGAAAGCGAATTCATACAGGAAAAGGAAACATATATAAATAGGGTAAAAAACGAGAATGATTGTCCAGAAAATTTGAAAATATTTGAATTTTTTACCTATATGTATTAAAAATCAAAGTTTGAACAATTTCATTCATTTACCTAAATTATAAAAATTAGTTGTTTCATTGATGGTTAGATTTATTGAGTTGACTTATTAACTTTAGTGACTTGCATTTTAAGCCAAGTTAATAAATCATGCGTAGGACGATATATTCTCATGCAGGGTGTATTTTAATGCTGTAATAAATATAATTAACTTTATTCGAAATAAGAATTTTTATTGGAGTTTTTTATTTTTTAAATTATAAAAGTCATTTTGAGTGTAATACCTAGATTTTTAGGTGCAATCAACAAGCTTTTGCAGACACTGATCTCGTACAACTAATCAGAGCAAATGGAATATTTAGTTTGGTTTAGATTAACATAACAGATATTATCTGCTT